GTCTTATTAAATTGGAACTTTAAGGATAGCTCTGCCTTGGACTCTGATTTAATTCTGCATAATATTTGGAACGCTGACATAATCTCAGGGTCCACAAAAGATCTGCCCCATGGTGTGGCTCCTTTGAACCCAAAGGACTGCTGTACAGCTTAGCAGAATGCATGCATTCAAGTAGTGTAATTTTTTAATTGAGACACAGCTAGAAACAGACGATATCAAAAATTAGCATAGCTGTTATTTCATCACAAGGACATCTTACACACAACTAGTTTGCCATATTTTGGAGACGCGATTCAGACATTTTAAATACTAATTTGTACGACTGTGCAGTTGTTTGGGGTTGCTCATGAAAGTGGCACTGCGCAAAGACTGACGTTTTCTGTCCAGAGGGGCTTTTATTAATGTTTTTTAAGAGTTGAAAATTATTCTTCCTGCTTCGCAGTGAGAGCAGGCTGTGTCCCTTCATTCATTCTTTGGTCCTCAGGTTGCTCTTCACAAATATCTGCTTCTGGGCATTGTGCCCTCAAGAGCGTGGGGTTGCATTCCAGTTCTGCTGGTTCGCAACATCTTGGGGCATACATGAAGCATTTCTCCAGACTGCCTTAAGATCGCTTTTCAACTTGCTCCTCCTGTTGAAATAGAGAAAAGGTTAAGCCTATTTAATTCATTCAGGACTTGGAATAGTGGTTCGAACAGATGTCCCTCCTCCACTGTGGAAGAGATTAGCCTCAGAACTTTCAGAGAGAGACAAGAGCAGCCAACTCTGGCTAAACCACAGCATGGGAAATGGGAGCTCAGAGTTCAAAGCTTTGCCTGGATCAGAGCCAGCCCTTGTGCCTGGATGTTGCTTTTTTCTCAGTGAAGACACTCAGTTGCCTCTTGCCTCTTTCCCACCATTAAACTTCTGAAAGCAGGTCAGCCACAGAACAAGTGCAGACAAGATGCCACACTAAGGGACGTCTCTGGTGGGAGCAGATGTCACAGTGCTCCCGCAATGATCATGGCTACCAAGGCCCGTCCCATGAACAAATCAGACAAATTGTTCATCCTCTTTTAGGTAATTATCAAAGAGATACAAACTAAGCACAAACTTGGCCTCATTCTGAAATCCATAGTCCTGGCCACACACTAATCACTCCATGAAGATGACATTCTTGGCTTGCTAGCGATGCTTGCTTGTAAGAGAAGTCAACGGCTGCAATCAGCAAGGCTACACCCTGCTAATTGGTCATTTGTTTTACATTTTATGTGAACTGCCACAATGACAGATTTGAAAAATAAAAATGGAACTTTTCCACCACTGTGTATACTGTGAGTTGGTACACAGAATTTGCTTCTAAAGACATATGCTAGCTGTACAGCTACTTGAATATTTACCCCAGTGCCCCCTCCAACACGTTTGCTTCCCTCCCTTTAAAAGCCAGGCTACCTTGACAGTCTGTGCAAATTCGGCCATGGCTGCTTCATACTGCCGGAGGAGAGGCTGAATGGAGGTGCTCTTGACCATCTGTGGCTGCAACTCTGGAAGGCCTGCATCCTTCAGCATCTTTAGGAACCTATACTCCTAGAGAAGGAAAGTGGGCTAACCTCACAACTTCTCCGCACTGCAGTAATGGTGGCCTTCTTCAGCAACCAGCAGCCTCCTAAAGAGGTAGCCACCAGGTACCCAGGCCTCAGGCCCTGCACTTTCCTGGGCCTTCGGCTGACCCATCCTTGAATGTGCCACTGAAACATGTCACTCTTAAGTGGCATGTGATATGTGCCCCCCACCCCCAGCACTCAGGGGCTGCAGAGGATTTCCAGAGGGAGGGACGAGGCCACCTACCTGCTGCTTGAGGAGCAGGCTAAAAGCCAGGCCTGCCTTCCCAGCACGAGCTGTTCTGCCCACCCTAAATGCAAAAGGGGTCTGGTGAGGAGATGAACCCCATTCACTCCTGACCTTCCCCAAAACCAAAAGGGAAACTTGGGGCTTTTAGGGAGAAATCAGATTCCCTGACACTATTTTCAGAATGCCTCCTCCCCACATTTCTGAGAAAAGTACCGGTGAATGTAGGTTCTGATGAATTGAGGGGCATCGTAGCTAATGACACATTTCACACCACCAAAATCAATTCCTCGAGCCGTGGCATCTGTGCTGATTAAACTGTTCCGGAAGAAACACAATTAATTGCTTTCTGTATGACACAAATAATTCGAGCATGACCAGACTCCAGTTGTGAGAGCCAATTTGGTATATTGGCGAGGGCTGGAATCAGGAGATGGTCAGTTTTAGTCCCACTTTGGGCACAGACCTTGGGCCAGTTACTCTCTCTCACCCTTAGGCAAACCACCCCTGAAATCTTGCCAAGAAAACTGCAGGCATTGGTCCAGGCAGTCACAAGGAATTGAGACTGACCTGAAGGCACTTTAAAAAATAATAATAATCCAACTCTGCTAACCAAAGTATTGATGGATAAATCTGAGTGTTAGAAATTAGAATCAAAAATATGTAGCATTAAGAGCAAACTATATTGCAAACGGAAGTTGGCAAGATTTAGCTAGCAAACATGGTGGAGAAGATCTCATTGTTGAAGGCCTGAAAAGGGAGCCTCCAAAAAGAACCCCCCAGCCCTGGTTAGTGCCACAGCCTCTAAATCCTGATGCAAAGAGGCCCTGGTGCAGATGGGATCAGCATTTCAGAGCAGATGATACCAAAACTCCTCCTGGAGAGACTCACAGCTGGATCTTGCCTTGCTCAAACTCCTTCAGGGTCACCTTCCTTTTGCTGGGGCTCAACTTTGAAGAAAACTCAGCTACCTTCACTCCACCAAAGGCCTGAATTAGCAGGAAGAGTCTGAGGACAGACAGAAGTGACAGTTGGAGGGAGAGGGAACTGGCTGGTTGGAAGATAATTATGCTTTTGTGCAAGGACAATCAATATAGCTGATAAGGATCCTTGCTGGAAAACCCACCCCCCCTGATCTAAGACCAGCTCTGCCATGAAATCTCACCTGTGCGAGGTTTCTTTGCTGTTGGTGAAGCACAGCACTTGGGAGAATTTCAGTCTCACCAGGAAATGCAGGAGGAACAGCGGCTTCCAATTCAGGCTGCACGGGACATAATATTGCTAGAGAGAGAGCAAGAGAGCATGAAAGGCAGCATTTGCCCTGGGAGTCCAGCTCATTTGAAGCTGCCTCACTTAGGAGCAGAATATTCTGAAGAGCTTACTTAGGCCAGCCAGCCAGCAGCCACAAGGGATAAAAGTTCAGCAGTTCTGCTTCATGTCTTTACAGTCATAGGCTTCCAATGCTTATTTAGTGATTTAATTCTTTTATGAATTATCCATTCATTTACCAACTCTTGCAACAGCTGATCAGGATTCCACCTTCAAAGCTGGAAAACATGTGTCTGGTCTCCAAAACCAGTCCCAGAGAAAGAGATGCTTCCACCTCCTGCCCTATTAGATTCCTTTTAGTGGCATCCTAGAGTTAACTACCTTCAGGATGGTTATACTGACAGTGTGGAATCAATATTAAGCAAATAAACGTATTTTCCTGGCAAAGGCTCCTCTTCTGAGGGCACAAAGCACATGAACAAGATCCAGGGAAGGGACACTTACTGAGAGTCCCTCGGGGAGAATGTATTTTTCACTGACACATGGTTGAGAGCCAAGCACATCACTCCCTTTCCCAGACTGAGCTGGCATGAAGAGGCGAGGCTGGTAGAGGTCCAACCGCTGCAGCTTCTCGGGGTTCTGCGTCAGAGTGGCTGAGAAAAGGAGCCTCTGCAGAGGGAGCCGAGGGTAGCAAGCCCTGGAAAGGGAAACAGGGAAAGGAGAACCTTCCTCCTGAAAAGCCAGCCGCCCTCTTGGTTAATCCACCATCCTCCAGGTTGGTTCTTCAAGGCTCAGTCCCCTCTCCTCTCAAGGGAGTCTCTGTGGCAGGATGCAAGACCTGTAGCTCAATGCAGACTCCCCGCAGAAATCTCTTACCTGGCTGCTGTGCAGGGATTTGGCTGCACCCTTCTAAACAGCCCACCGGGATCAGAGCCCCCTTCAGTCCGGTGCACAGCCTCTACTACTTGCTGCAGCCAATCCTGGTGCATGTTGTCAATCATGCGATCTGCTTCGTCAATGATCTGCATTCAGAAATAAGGGGGGGGAAACCCATTCAGACGTGTGACTCTGGTCTGGCAGGCTGGCAATCATGGTGAGTGTGTGTTGCCAAGAACTAAGGCTGGTCTCTGGTTCTTGTGGGGAGGAAAGAGGAGGTGCAGGATCTCTGGGCAAAAAGCTTGTGATGCATAAGCTGTGATTCCAACTATAGCTGCTCCTGCCGACAAGCTCGCTGAGCTAACAAGAGCCTAGCCAGCCATGTGCCCCGTTCCCAAGTTACAGGCCCAATCAAAGGGAAATGACCCCCCCAAATATGCTGGGAGCTGCTGAACTCATGAATTTTATGCTAAAACGTGAATATGCAGAAGTAAACCTGAAAACTCTTTTGCCTTGGGGTACAGGAGGAATTCTGATGCTCTCACGGCTGCTCAAAGACACAGTTTTGATTCAGGCCACACTTTTGGGGAGTCGCCCTTACCACAAAACGAAGCTCTCGCAAGCTGAACTGGGGATTTTTCTGGAGATGGTCCACCAGGCGTCCTGGGGTGGCTACAACAATGTCTGCCAGACTACGAAATCCCATCAGCCTGCCCAAAACCAACAAGAAGGCCAAAAAATTAGAAGCAGCACCCTTGGGAATGTTACTTTGGGTCCCATCCAGATGTTAATTCACCCCAGGCATTGACTGTTTTCCCAACTCTTTCTAGGAACCAGAAAGCATCGAACAAATGGGCAATTCACAGGACAATCAGCCATGGTGTTGCACAAAATATCACAGGACAACCAAGATCAAGCCACAACATACTCAAGGTCATGTCAGGATTAAGGATTCACAAATGCAGATATACAGCAGACTTGGACCTTAGCTACCGCTCCCAGGCAATCCTCTTTTCAGGGTCAGTAAAGCTGCAGTTGAGTCTTTCTTAGTTAGGCTGGTGAAAAATTTCCTATCTCTTGTTTCAAAGCTAACAGGCCAAGGCAGCAAGATTAAATTAACGGGCCCAGGAGAATATGGACTTACGTTGTCTCAACAAGGGACTCTTGTTCTTTCACGAAAGATTTCTGTCCGGTAAGCTGGACAACTTTCAGCCCAGTCCCATCAGTGTAAATGTTGAATATTTTAGCCACCTTTCAAAAGAAGTCAATGTTGAAAGAGAGATGAACAGAATATGAGCATGTGAACGTCAGGGAGGAAAAGAAGGAAGGAAAACAGCATCTCCTGAACTCCCAACTTTCCAATGTATCCTTAGTTAGAGGGAGGCCTAAAATTAGGAATACCCAAAGGCTCTGTAGAAAGGTTATCTGGCCCTGTCTCCCATTAGGTTCCCTAGCAGCCGGAAGAATTGCTGTTATTTTGCACACTGTGCTTGAGGGTCAGAAGGCTGTTTGCCTCAACGTGATCTGGGAGCCCAGCTTACAACTCCCCTGGGGGTTGACAGCCAAAGCAGGGACTTGGCAATGGGAGACTCTGTAGTGGCATTCTCTCCAAGGGAGGTTCCCATTCCTGCACAGCCTTCTTTTAAGAAATAGAGGAAGACCTGCCAGGAATGTATAAGACTCTCTAGGGACAACTTGATTGTAACCTTAAATTTGTTTGGCTAAAAATGAAATTTTGTTGCATTTATTTTTTAAAGCATTATTTGTTTTTACTGATCTTGTAGAAAACTTCTTAATGACATTGCCTAGCCTGGTAATGAAAAATCTGGAAGAAATCAACAAGCGCAGACACCTCCAAAAACTTAACTGTTCCAGCCTGAGCTCCTCATAGCCCCTTCTACTGGAGTATCAATAACAACAATGGCATCTCCCACTATCTTTGGGTCACCCGGCAGGTGGCTCTCAGGGCTCTAACAAAATATATAGCAAACATGACAAGCCACAAATCTGCCACAGTTTTATGGGGCTCTGCTGCAGATGCACTAACACAGTGTGAGCAGAGGGTTGTAGCAACTCCTTCATTTTCTTGTCTTTGTCTCTCACCCAGGATTGTCCTCAAGCTAGCCCACTCCAATATTCCTGTGCGTGGAATGGAAAAATCGGGACCATAAAGGCCTCCCCCCCTTCAGATGATACCTGCTGGGCCAGCTCTTTGGTGGGCAAGACTGCCAGAACTCGTACATGGCAGACAACACGATCTAACAGGGCCTGCCAAAACAGGAGAACAGAAACAGTCTTAGGGTTCTGTTACATCCTCCCAAATAAGTGCACAAAAACCACCCGCTCTGTACAAACAGAGAAACACACACACACATCGAAAGACGAGCTGAGAGTTCCCAGAGCACTGACCACAATTGTCAGTTGCTATTGTCCCTTCATATGACCTACGACATTCCTCTCACTAGTTTTTCTATTTCATTTTTCAAAGGTACTTAAAACTCACTACCCTGTTTCTCCCAAAATAAGACCTCCCTGGATAATAAGCCCAATCAGGCTTTTGAACACATGTGCTGAAATAAGCCCTCCCCAAAAATATTGCAACACAGCAGCAGCCATGAGGTGACTATGCTTGCCGCCTCCTGCACCTCAAAAATAATAAGAACTCCCTAAAAATAAGGCCAAGTGCTTATTTCAGGGATCAAAAGAAAATAAGACCCTATGTTATTTTCGGGATACACCATACAAAACATTCAGTTTTAAGGCAAGAAAATTAAATCTTTGCAACCGGACCAAATACTCAAACGGCAGAAATCCTAGAAACCAGATCCAGTTCTCCCTTGATACTTCCACTGACCATTATCGTATGCTTTGCAGCACTGGCTATGGCTCCTGGAGGGACTTTGGTTCTGGATGATGCCCTACACCCCCAAACCCCCCAGCAGTGCTTGATTCCAGCTGAAGCTCACCTGCACCACTGGAATGATGAAGGCCAATGTCTTGCCACTGCCAGTGGGGGCTGAAACACAGATGTCGCTTGGGGGATAGCCACCCCTGCCTGCTAAAGCCCCATTGGGCCCACAATCCAAGATGGCTGGAATCACCTCAGCCTGAACTAGAGGAGAGTGGGAAATATTAGTGGGTTGCCATCCAATGGAACACTTAACAGCTTAACACAAAACAGAAAATGGTAAAATGTCTCAAATGTCCATTGATATGAAGAAAACCTTGAAATATTTTAGGTGTTTGCCACAGGTAATAACAAAATTTAAACAAACACCTGATTGAAGGGTCCTTGGTGGTTTCCTTGCAGACATTTCATTGCCAAACTAGGTAACATCATCAGTATTATCTACGCACGTGTTCCACCCTGAGCTATAAATGTTCTCTTTTTAGATATCCAAGTGCTTTGAGCAGCACTTAGCCTTCTCTGCTCAAGTATTCCAGCAGGACATGAATCCTTGCCACCCTCCTCTTGTGGGTCAATCCCCTCCTGTGCTTTCTGATGAGGCAAATAATGGTTTACCACTAATGTAGCAATGAAAAGAAGAGATGTCATGACAACAAACAAGCATACTTCCCCGGTATGCATCTGAATGAGGCTTCTAACCCTCTAACCCTAACCCTCTCCAGCCAGGCAGAGTGCCATTCACTGACCTAGTGGTATCCCGAAGGTGCCAGGCTGCATGGCGCTCCACCCGCCCCCCAGCTCCTGCAGCTTGGCACATTAGGCACTTGGCACAGGGCGCTCTGTCCCACCAGTCTTCCAGCAGCTGGCCCACAACCATAGAACGCACTCCCAAAGCAGCTGCTGCTGGAAGACTCAGCAGCCGATCTCTGGAGTTAGGAAACCGGAGAAGTTATGCTTGGAGCGTTGCGGCGGTGGTGCCCTGGCCCTGCAAAGAGAGCTGGGCCAAGGCATGGTGAGGCTGGGGGGCACGTGAGCTGGGGGTGGAACAGGTGCTCACGCAACCCCCCTCTCCAGATGGGCAGAGCACCATGTGCCAAGCTGTAGGAGCTGGGAGGTGAGCAGAGTGCCACATGGCTTGACACTTCGGGATAATGCTAGGTCAGTGAATGATGCTCTGCCCGGCTGGAGAGGGAGGTTGCCGGGCAGCTGCTTATGAGCGTGATCACTTCATGGCTGCTGTATTGCACTGCTGCGACAGCACAACACAGCCATTCGCCCTTGAAGCTGTGCCCAGCTCTTCAGGAGCCTGCTCGCAAGAGAGCAGCTGCCCGACACCCCCAAAACAATGTGTCCCCCTCCAATAAGGCCCAAGCCATATTTTGGGGGTCAAAAGAAAATAAGACCTTGTCTTATTTTCGGGGAAACACGGTAGTTAAGCAAATAATTCCCCAAGGTTGTCTGCTAACTGCAACATTTAATATACAAAAAGTAAAAATAGTATTTTATTACTACATCTCTTCCAATATGAAAACTTGGTGAATGAACTTCAGAAATATGTAGCTGACTTTCCTCTTTGTTCCGATACCTGGAAAGAAAGACACTATTCCATTGGCTTGCAGCTTCTTCCTCAGCTTAGGGTGAATGACTGGAACATCCTGAAGAGGGACAAGGTTCTCTCTGATCTGCCTCTGGAACTGCTGCGGTTGACTGAACCACCGTGGCACAAAAGGTTGCACCTAGAAGTTAAATGCAGAGTCCTCAACTTGAGAGTCCAACAGTCCAACCTAGGCAGGAATCCCTAGAAGATGAGGATTGTTGAGCCTCTGCTCTGGACCAATCCACTGAAGGGAATCCCTCCCTGCCCCCATAGCTCCTGTCAAGGTTTCTGTTCTTCTCTAACTCTCAAATAATCTGCCTTAAACAGGGTCAAGGAGGCAGCAGTTCTGCAAATTAAAAAGTGAGTTTTCATTAAATAAGAGTGGAGGGAGCTGCCAGGAACCATGATGAGAAGAAGAGTTCCTCACTGAAGTGGCTAGGTGTAGGTTGGGAGGGGTGTGTGTGTCTTCTCCTTCTGAGGCAGTTGGTGAGTGTTTTGGAGTGGAGCTGGTTTTCAGATTTTTAGACAGAAGCAGCTTCTGGGTTTTTTAATTGACTGTACTCCATCTTCCTTTTGGACCATGGCCATAGTAAAGATTTGACATTAGTTAATCATCATGTTACCTTGTGCAGATTCCTTTGATCACAAGGACCAAGGACAATCAGACTAGAAGGTGGAGAAGTTGTTCTTGGATTTGGTGTCAGCAACATCTGATCCTCTCTGGCTTGACTCTCTTTGTCTCCAAAACCTCCCGTACATTCTTCCGCTGGGGTAGCTCTACTTTCCAGATGATTCTCTATCACACTTTCATCTCCTGATAAAAGTGGCAGACAGAACACAAATAACTTAGTTTTCAAGAAACATTTTATGGAAGAAAGTAGTTGATCTTAAGGTGTGTTTTCAGGCAGAAAGGGCTCTAAATATTTTCTAATAGTATTAGTTTGTTTATGCAATTTCTAGAGGCACCCATCTCACATATTTGACTCTGGCGAACTTGCAGAATGAAAAATACACAAACATAAATAACCAAAATATAACAAGGAAGGCAATTAAACCATTAAAAAAACAATTGGTGGGCAAATACACCCAAACTCACTAGCAGTATGGTCATTTTGCAGCTCTGCACTACCCCTACCAGATGGCAAAATCCAGGTTTTCCAGAAGGCCGGTAAGGTCAGAGTCAGTCTGACCTCATGGGGAATGATGTTCCAGTGGGTGGGTGCCAAAGAAGAAAAGGCTCTCCTCCTGGGCCACATCAGATGACATTCCTTCACCAACAGGTCCTTCAATGTGCCCTTCCAGTTGGACCTGCTGGTGGACTGTCAAGTACCCTTTTCAAAACATACCAAAGCAAAAAGCTAAAGGAAGAACAGCACAGGGAGTCTACTGGGTTCTTCCAGTCTGAGGTAACAGAAATATTGATACCAATGAGGTGCTTGCATTAACAGCCACAGCAAGTAAGGGAAGAAAATAATTCACCAAACACATCAAAACAGGTAAGTGTAGATTGTTCTAAGAAAAGTAAAATCCAAGACTCATAAAGTTTGTTGCATTTTGCGACTTATGGTGGGAGAGGGGGGGCTGCCTGCAGGAGCTGGCTCTTAACAGCTCCTGATTCTCGGTTGTGTTAAACTGTCTGAACAGCAATTCATCAGCCATTTGATAGCTTGTTTACTTTTTCTTCGGGCTTAGAAGATAAGGTGAGATAATTGTGCTGGGGCAGCATGCCAACTAACTTTCCCAGACCATAAATCTGGGGGGGGGGGGGGAAGGACACCCGACAGCAGAATTCTCTCCGTGCCAAGAATCCTGCTGCCTTTATTCGCAGCACAAAGGCATCCACCCACCCTCTGCACAAAATCTGATCTACTGAATCCAGGACGAACAGAGCCTATACACGTGAACTTTTAATTGTATGTATTAATCCTTAGCTTCATTTTTACAAGAATTCCTTCTGATAATTTACTTGTTAAAGAGGTATACAAAATGGTGCCGAGCGGCTTCGTAGTTGTACCGGTCGGACTTTGAATTTCTACGGAACTTAAAACTTCAAAGAAAAGGAAGTGATTTATTACTAAACTAAACAGTAATTGCTGTACAATCGCCCAACATAGTTTTATTAATTGGCTGAAGATTAAACTTGGAATGGCTTCTAGGCAAAAGGTGCCTCCCCTCCTTCTAATGTTTCAAAAAGTGCGGGCAACTCCCCCGCTCTCGGTACGA